CCCTCCCCCTGTGACGTCACCCCCTCCCCGCGGACTCCCCGCGCCGCGGGTACCCCCCTGCTCCTCACTCCCCCCCTCGGAGCCCCTAAATTAGAACCCGCCTATATTCTCTACTTGCGACCAATATAAAGACAAAAATGAAAAACCATCGCAAGAAATTTATGAGTTTAAAAGGCTGTTGCCCTCATTCTTCCAGCCAACGTATTCGTATATAACTTTGTCTACCGGCTGTTTGTACATCAAGTGTATGTATCTGTGCATCTGTGTGTTTTTCTGCCAACGACTGATTCCGCGTATTGAAATACCTGTGACAACGCAATCGCCACAATTCTATTCAAATAATTTATTGATTTGTTGTTTAACTTTTTCTTTATGAATAGAAGGATATCTATATTGTTTGACAATTATAATAACATTATCCGTAATAGGAATAGAATGTGTATATTCGGTATTTGCCTGTCGATTTACCATTTATTATTTCGCGCGCTTTCGTTACCCATGTATTCAGCGCGTAACGTTTTTATTGTCGATGCGCGACGTTTGTTACCGACTGGCGCTCGGCGCGTCGCGGCGCTATTATCAATTCGCTCGAGGAAGAATCCGAAGAATCTAGAAAAATCGATCGGCTCTCGGCGAGGACACATCATCCTTCGACATCTTGTATTTTATGATTCGACGATCATCGTCGTGTAACCGCAAGAATGTAAGTCTCAATAAATAAACTGTGTTCTCGATCAACGAGTGATCCATTTAATTCGAGAGTGAAAGAGCAAAAAACATTACGCGTTTTTCAACCACGTCCCGCGAAGCAATCGTGCCGTGGAATGGCGTGATGGGCATTAGCCCCAATATCCATTACAGTGTAATTTTATTTGTTCCTTTTAATTTATCTCCCGGCAAATGAAATGTATCATTATAATTTTAAATAATTGGTAATATCGAAAGTTTTTCTTTTTTATTTAAATACTCTAGTCGTATACTTTCCTTCAATATTTTTAATCTGTCCATTAAGTTATTCGAGATAACCGAATTTAATGCGAATGTAGGACTGTCCCTAGGGCTCATATCAATTAACACTGGCTCTACATTAATTACAGGTGTATCAATATTCAATTCTTCCTCTGTCGTATTAATTAAATATGTACGTACGTTACCGTTGTTTATTTTTACACTGCTATACATAAGAAAAACACCTTGCATTATTTTTTGTTGATTTATTAATCCAATATCAATATTATTTTGATTAGTTTTAATTACATATGAGCACATGCTTCTAGCTGGTTATTAAATTACTGTATTTTGATGAATATATTTTATTATTCTAGATTGTAACCGTTTGTTTTTCAAAATCTATTTTCGCATTTTCAAGGCGTAAAAAGGTCGAACCTATAATGCCTTGTTCTTTTAATGGAAATTTACTCGGTACTACGTGAAATTTGTGAATGCCGTTTCAGGTGAACTGGATTTGCGCGACTCGAAGACTGGCCTTAACATTGCGCGCTTTTCGCTTAGCCTTGGTAATTTAAACTTTGATTAGGTAGAGTATTCTTTTGACGATAATTATTTGGTGAATTATTTGAATTGTAACGATTATTATAATTTTGTCCATTATGCATCTGATATCTATTAGCTTGAATATTGTTGTTGAACCCATTTAGAATTACTATCCAAATTTTGCACAGAATCACGTCTATCATTATTACTATATTGAAAATTATGATTTCCACTTCTATTTCTTGTATGAAAAGTCTCTTTCCTACATTCGTTTTCAGAATGACCTATCTTTTTGCAATAGTTACACGTTATGTAACCTGATTAAATCTATTTTCTTTAAATCTTTCCACGTGGTATTGCGATTTTCTAATAAATCTTATGATTTCCTTTATTGCAGCTTCCAAAGTATTAAACCTTTGCGCTAAAAGATGTTGACTAACATTTTTATGGAGTCCGCCTATAAAATGATATGTTAATTTATTGGTTGCAAAAACTCTTATTCCTTTCTGCCTGATCAGGGTAATTGGAGATTGTAATTACCATATCGGAATTTAACTTTCTAACTCTAATAATATAATTTTCAGTAGATTCATCTCTGTTCTGCCAAAGGTTACTTATTTCTAATTTCCACTGTTCGAACGTTTTATAATTGCTGAATTCTTTTATAAGTCACATAATTCCTCAAGATTCGTTATTGTATACATAGATATAACTAACGCAGCATCGCCCGTTAATTTAGTTTGAAGAATCGTTCTAAAGAAAAATAATCTTTCTTCGGACTCTATGAGTTTTAAATCTCTTTTACAATCAGATGTGAATTGATGAACCAGAATATTTTTATCATTAAAAACAGGTAAGAGATTCAAACTATTGCGAACGGAAAAGTAACTGTTAGTTGTCGAAGTCGAGGATTTTCGACTTTGTTGGTCTCTATTTACGTGAATGTTTTCGACGTGAGATTCTAACTGTGATGGCCATCGACATCTAGAATGGACCTCTGATGGCAATGGTGGAGGTAGAAAGACGATTAGAGTGAGAGGCAGGAATAATAAGATCGTTCTTTCTCTGTTTACTGAAGTCTGATTGGTTGTTAATCCAACAGTAGTTAGAAACAACAGTAAACAGAGAAAGAACGAGCTTATTATTCCTGCCTCTCACTCTAATCGTCTTTCTACCCCCACCATTGCCATCAACGGTCCATTCTAGATGTCGATGGTGATGGCGCCTGATCGTTCATGATTAACGGTAAAAGTATGTAATTAGATTCGAAGCTATCTACCGGATTACTTTCGTCTGAAGTATCTGACTTATAATGTACGCTAGAATTTCGATAGTTCATAAAGACTCACATTAGTAGTACAACACCTCTGAGTGTCTGATGTTGGTCGAAGATTCGATGTCTGAGATGTCCAAGATTCAATGACTGAGATGTTTAAAGTTCGATGAGCTTTTTTTCGTGTTAGCCCTCCACGGAGTCTTTTCGTTGGCTCCGTCCAGAAGAGACTGTAACGTTCCATCGGAGACGCTTTATGCCGCTTTCTCGCTGTTTCGTTAACGTTTGCGGTAACCCAGTCCTCAATATCTTTTTCTTTGAACGAAAATCGTGAGCTGTTGCTGTAGTCCGTCAAATTTATCGGTGGGACGTCCGAGTCGCAGAAACGATATTGTATCCGCTTTACTTGCCAATAGGAACTGTCGTCAGCCTTCAGGCTTTTATCTCAGCGTCAGTGGATTGTGAGGTTTTCTCGATTCTGGCTTCTTCCGACAATGTATCTCTTCGTTCTGTCTTACTTGGAGAT